TGTGCTTTCCGATCACCCAAAGAGCCTTAAGTTGTGAAGTGAACTCTGCTTGCTAATTTGGTTCTTGTGTTATTGCAGAACCTGCGAGATATGTGATCGGTAGCACGGAACGTGGTCGGAGCGACGGAGGAGGAGACGATGGTGGAGCAATGGAATGAGGGCATTGATGCAGTGGCGGCATCAGCAGTAGCAGCAGCAGGGCAACCGGCAACAGACGCGGTAGACCAAGAATATTTTTTCTTGATGGTTTGACAAAGAGATAAAAGAGATTTTTTTTTTGAGAATTAACCGATGGGATTCATTAAGATTAAGTAAAAGATGCCTCAAGGGCTACAACATCCGCAATCTCAATGGGCAGTCTATCCTTCCATACAGTCACTACTTCAGAAGCATATGAAAAATGAGCAATCAAATGAGCCATGGTGTTTAACTCTCTAAAAGTGAATCTCCATCCTCTAATATCCAGCCGTGAGGCCATCTCCCTGATATTACTACAAACACTTCCAAGCTCATGATTCAGTTCTGCAACTACCTTCATGATTCAGTAGCCGTGTCACTTTTTTGCAGTCTGATTTCATCACAATTGTCTTCCCTTCCATCCCTGTAACCATCTGCAGTCCAAAAAGAACAGCCATTCCCTCAGCAACATCTGGTGGCCATCTAGGCTTAACTCTTTTGTTTGCAGCAACAATCGCTCTTCCATTCCAATCCCTCAAGACACAACCTAATCCCCATTCTCCTCTGCCTATCACCCATGCGTCTATGTTTAGTTTAAAAGTGAATGTCTGTGGTTTGTTCCATCTGCTCTCCTTCCTTGCATTAAGGTTATTTGTCCTATGTTTCTTTCCCTGCACCTCAAGATAGCTATGTATAAACTCATCCGCTCTTGGGAAGACTTCCTGTTGATGTGACTTGAATCGGACTATCAGCCGCTAGACTGGTAGTCGGGGGTCTCGCTGCCCGGTCAGTGAGTGGGGTCCAGGGGCAACGCCCCGGTGGGGGTGTGGTGGCAACGCCCCTGGCCTGCGGTGTATGGGCTCAATTGTCCGCTTTGGGCCAAGCCCGCACGGTTTTACTCCTGGGTTTCCTCCCCAAAAGGCCTCGTACTAATGAGCTTGGTGGACACTAATATATCCCTTGTATTACTAATGTGGTACTTGGATTGTCCCATAACAATCCTCCCCTCAAGCAAAGGACCACGAACTTCGTTTCCTCACCTCAACGAATATCTTGATCCGCTAGACTCCTTGTATCGATGGGCTTCTCGGTATAAGGACTTTATCAAACGCAGAACTGTCTTTGATCTGCTTCCCAAATGCGGAACTCTCTTTGATCCGCCAAAGCCCAAACGTGGATCTCTCCTGGATCCACCAAACAGTCGCGAATCACCTTTGACCCGCCAGACAAATGCAGATCTCAAATCCTGAGGTCACCGAATGAGGCCCCCCACCAAACTGACATCCACCGCCCTCGATCCGCCAAACCAGATGTAGCACAAACGTGGATCTCTCGTGGATCCACCAAACCAGACGCAGATCTCAAATCCCGAGGTCATTGAATGAGGGTCCACCAAACTGACATCCACCGCCCCGCACCGAACCAGGCTCTGATACCACTTGTCAAAATCGGGTCGCTCAATTAGTACGATATTGTCCGCTTTGGGCCAAGCCCGCACGGTTTTACTCCTGGGTTTCCTCCCCAAAAGGCCTCGTACTAATGAGCTTGGTGGACACTAATATATCCCTTGTATTACCGATGTGGTACTTGGATTTTCTCATAACACTTCTCATTCTTTTAGCAGCTTATTATTGAAGAGGAAGTTATTCCTTTCCTTCCCCCAAAAAAAAAAAAAAACCCACATAAGTGAGCAAAACTGCGCAACCTTTTTATCAGGAGAATTCTTCAGCACTTGACATAGCCATTTTCTGCAACTAGTTCCCTCTGCCTTATAGAACAGACCAGCAATGGGTGTTTTGCTCCATATACGAGCATTCCAGCAACAATCAACCAGGCAAAGCTTAAGTGTTTCTTTGAGGCCACAATTTGGACATTCATCCCCCAAGTTCCTGACTTTTTTTACTGATTTTTACCCCTACTGGCAAGATGTTGTGGGCTGCCTTCCAAATAAAAGTTGTAAGTTTTCCAGGCATGTTCATCTTCCAGAGTTGCTTCCAATAGAAACCTTCTTCAACTTGTACTGTAATCTCGTTATTCTCTTCCTCCTTCTTCCTCTGCAGTTCAACCAAGTATCCAGACTTAATTGTATACTTCCCATCTTCAGTTCTCGTCCAGCATAATACATCTTTGTCAATCGAAACTGAAGAGGGATTGAGCTGATAGCTTGCTGTTCCTCACTCGTGAAGGCCATTTCCAACATATCCTGCCTCCATGTTCTTGTCTCCTGATCAATCAAACTTAGAAACTTTTTATTCCCATTCCATGAAAGGACAGTAGGAGATAACCTCGTAGTTATTCAAATTTGGCATCCACTTGTCACCCCAAATCCTAATATCCTCACCTGATCCAACTCTCTATCTGCATCCAAACTTGAGGAGGTCTTGCGCCCCATAAGACTGCGCTAGATATAGTTTGGTCTCCATCCGATTTGAGCATCCATAATAGAAAATCTAGGGTGATATTTGGCTTTCAATATCCAGGCCACCAGTGAGTTAGGCCTTGAGTGCAAATTCCATAACTGTTTGGCTAACATGGCTTTATTAAACACCTTCAAGTCCCTGAAACCCATACCCCTTCTTCTTTCTTCTTGCACAGCTTCTCCCACTTTTTCCAATGGATTCGTCTTTCGCCTCCTTTCTCCCCTCACAAATAATTGGCCAATAAACTATGAATGTCATTCAAAATACCATCAGGAATTTTAAAGACTGACATTGCGTAAGTTTTCTACGCTTGTGCAACACTTTTGATCAGAATCTCCTTTCTTGCCTCTGCGAAATATCTGTTTTTCCAGTTTGTGAGCTTGTTCCTGACCCTCTCTTGTAAATTGTGAAAAAAACTTTCTTTGACCTTCCAATCATCGTCGGTAGTCCAAGATATTTAGCCAATTTATCCACTTCTTTAATTCCAAGTTCTGTGCAAATCGCAGCTCTCTTTGCACTTACAATGTTGCTGCTGTAATAAATCTATGACTTCGCCAGGTTCACCATCTGACTAGATTCAAGCTCATGCCATTCCAGAATTTCTTTCAACTTCTTTGTCTCATTGATGTTCTCCCTTGCAAACAGAACACAGTCGTCAGCGAACATAATGTGATACACAACATGAGCCTTATTACAAATTCTGATACCATGAATCTTTCCATCCTTTTCATACTTGTTCACAAGAGCATATAAGCCTTTTGAGCATAGCATGAAGAGGTATGGGAAAGCGGATCCCCCTGTCGCAATCCTCTTTCATGCTTGAAGAAATTTGATTTATGCCCATTTACCAAAACTGCATAGGATACAGAGGAGACACGGAACATGATTAGATTTATCCATTTCTCATCAAACCACATCTTTCTCATAATTTTTTCAAGGAAACACCATTCCACTTGATCATAGGCATTAGCCATGTCGAGTTTCAGAGCAAGGTAGCCTTTTTCACCTTTAATCCTCTTCTTCATGGTAAAGAAACACTCGAACGCTGCAATTACATTATCAATAATGAATCTCCCGGGAACAAAGGCGCTCTGTGAATCACAAATCAAATCATCTAGGATCCCTTTCAAGTAGGGGTGGGATTCGGTTTGTCGGTAAACGGTTTACCATTTTACCGAACCGTTTACCGACGGTATCGGCGACCGAGCGTGGGCTGGGGTGTATCGGTTTACCGATACCGGTATCGGTAAATACCGACGGTAAATCGGTAAACCGTTTACCGAACCCAAAACGACGTCGTTTAAGTCATCACCAAATCTATACCCTAATTTCTAAACAACGAAACCTAAACCATAATAGATAGCAACTTAGTGTTTGAACTCAAATATTAAGTTATAACTTATGGCATTAACATATAACATATACTTCATTATTCACAAATATTACATACATCATGAAGAAAAATATTATAAATAAGAGTTACAAATGATACATGAATGTAAGTAAGTATAGGCCTAAAAAGTGTTATTAATTATTAATTACAAAAATGAAGAAAAAAAACTCAGAAAAATCAAAATATTACAACATCTTCCCCACTAACAGAAATTCGGTTTCGGTAAATGTTCGGTAAACCGAACCGAAAACCCGCCCCCACGTCGCCCTTGCGGTAATTCGGTAAACCGCTTTGTAACCGTTTACCGATAATTCGGTAATCGGTAAACCAGTTACAAACCGGTATCGGTAAACGGTAAACGGTTTTGCCAGTGTCGGTATACCGAAACCGGTAAATTCGGTAAACAATTTACCGTTTACCGACCGATTCCCACCCCTACTTTCAAGTGGTTTTCAATTTTCTTAGATAGTATCTTATAAAGAACAGTGCAAAGGCTGATTGGCCTGTATTCTTTAGGAGAGGTAGGATTTTTTACCTTTGGTACTAACGCAATCAGTGTTCTGTTGAGACGCTCTCTAGGAACCAGCCACTATGGAGGAAGTTCGTCAATTCTTCAAAAATCCTGGGGACAAGATCAGTTCTCCAATTTTTTGGAAAAACAACGCCGGAAAACCGTCATCTCCAGGAGCTTTAGTGGCACCCATCTGAAAAAGCGCACATTGGATTTCTTCAGCTGTAAAAAGGTGCAGAAGCTTACAATTCATCTCTTCCGTCACCTTTCGATCCACTGCTTCAATGACCCTCCAACTATTATTTCCAACTCTGCTTTTAAGGAGATCCACGTAATAGGAAGTCAGGCAATCAATAACCTCTTCTCGTCCTTTGTAGATTCTATCACCTTCATCTTTCAGCCTTTTGAATTTTGATCATGTTTTTCTTCCTTCTCTTTGTTGCTTTAGCATGCAAAGCCTTTGTGTTCTTTTAACCATTCCATCCTCGATCACTGTTTCCATCTTTGCTCATTTATATTAAGTAATTCCTGCAACTCAATCTCGAGTTTCCTTTTCCTAGAATGCCAAGTTGTATCCCTGACTTGCATCTTCATCTCCCTGATACTTTTGCGAGGTGTAATTCTCATTGCTTCAAGCCTTCTTCCAGATCGTCAACTCCTGCTGCTTCCCAAGTTTCACTCACTATGATACTGCTTTCTTCATCTTTTGCCCAAAAAGATTCAAATCTGAAGCTTTTCCCCCACCAGATTTCTTCCTCATTTTCTCCTTCATAGTCTATCAAAATTGGTAGATGATCTGAAACCACCTCATCTAGATGAATAACCATAGCCTCAGGGAACTTATACATTCATTTTTTATTTGCAACTTCCCTGTCCAAGTGTTCTTCTATGAGGCCCAGAACATCTCGCTTTTTCTCCCAAGTAAAGGGGTAGCCACGAAAGCTCAAGTCCATGAGTCCACTGTCAGATAAGGCATTATTAAAGCCTATGAGTTTCTGTTCCTGAACTAGTCTTCCCCCTACTTTCTCTGCATTTGAACTGATTTGGTTGAAATCACCAGCGCATAACCAAGATTCGTCGTTCCCACAATGAAGATTTCTAATTAGATCCCAAGTGAGATGGTGGTTCTCCTTTTCTGGACACCCATAAACTCCTATGAACCTCCATTTCGAGTCACCATCCGCTTCCTTTCTTTTCACATCCATATGGTTTTTGTCGCTAATCTTAACCTTTATCTTCACCTCCTTTTTCCAGAATAGGCAGAGTCCCCCAGTATTACCATCTGCTGGAACCCCATCACCATCTTCGAAACCCAGCTCATACCTTGTTTTCTCCCATTTATCATTCGACAACTTTGTCTCCATTAAGAAGACCACTTGGGGTTTGTGGAATCGAATAACAGATTCAAAAGAAGAAACTGCCACGGGATTCCCCAACCCCTGGCAGTTGAGACTTAAGAGTTTCATTGTGATAGGAGGCCCTGCAACTCGGCAGGGTCCGCCTCTGGTTCTTCTGGGTTTGAGAGAGCATTGCTTTTGTTCCTTTTGACATCTCTACGCTTCATCATCATTCCTTAATCGTTTATGTCAATATCCATATCATCCTTGTTCCTTCTCTTTTCTCTTGTAACTACTTTTGGGTTGTTGCCTTCTTGGGTCTTTACTTCTTTCTTAAGTCTAACCCAGATCTTACCAGCCACTTTCGTTTTCCCATGGCCTCTTTCAGCAACTTCATTGGGCCTCTCTCCTTCACTTTGTTTTTTCGTAACCCACTTGGGCCCATAGCCAAGCCCGAGAAGTTTTTGTTTAGTGGTTCTTCCTCCCTTACTTTGCTGTTCAAACTAGAGCAGTCTCCCGCCGTTTAGTCTTCCTCTTTTTCCTTACCGCCTTTCTCCTCGTGTCCCACACCCTATTCCCCATCAACTTCCCCGTTCACCTTTCTTCCTTCGTTTTTCCCGCATATCACATTATGTGCCTCGGACACTACTTTAATAAAATCAAATAGTTTTTTTCGAGAAGAAACTGCTGGAATACGAACCATCATCTGAGAATTTCCCTGATCCACTATACCTTTGTCGGAGTTCTCACCGGATTTCCTCTGCTTTGCCTCCGACCACAGCATTTCCATTTTTGTGGCCTCTGCCTTACTCTTGGGCCTCCCTTTCTTCACCGGCGACAATGCTCTTAACCAATTTCCATACTGTGTCTCCTCTTCTGGGAGAATTTCTTCCTTACAATCACGTTTTAAGTGACCAAGTATGCCACAATTGTAACAGAAGTTTGGTAACTTTTCCTATGCCACTTCGCAATTTTTTACATGTAAATATGAAAATGGAATAATATTAGTAAGGAAAATCATGAATAACACAAAATCACATAACACTTACAATGATAATTTTTCAAGGTTAATGTATCAATTTATCAAGGTTAATGTTAAGAGGTGGTGAATCGATGGTGATTAATACGTTGATGTGATTGATTATAGTCGATGGTGGTTAGTGTGAGAGAACTAGATGATGTTGGTGGAAGAGAAGAGAAAGAGGCGTAATTTTGCAAATTCTGGGGAAGATAAGTAAAATTGACCCAACGATTTGAATCGTAAAATTATAAGATTTTAAAAGATTTTAAGGATTTAAATCATGAATAGTGTAGGATTTTAAGGTCCATAGATTTTATAGTGAAATCAGAATCGGAATAGGTAAGTAAAATCATAAAAGTGTAGGATTTTAGGATTTAAATGCGGATTTTGACTACTATGATCTTGATTTGTTTGGCATCGGTATTATCCAATCCGTAGTAACGTGGGGTGGGACATGTGTACTACTTCTGACCTGTCTACTCCGTTCTTGACTAGTTCTCTCATAAACCAATTGGTCCCAATAACTCAAGTTGTTGGGGGAGGCCACTACAACAAATTTGGCCTATTATGACAAAAAAATTTTTTTGTCATTTCCAGATTGTCACAATAGGGTGTGTAATATGACAAAACGCGACGCTGTCCTATTAGGTGTGCCTATTGTGAGAACATTGAGTTTTATAATTACAGTTTGTCATAATAGGTGGGTACTGTGACAAATATCTTATGTCACAAATAATATTGTCAAAATAGGCATCCCAAATCGGGATGTAGGAGACTCAAAAGTGACAAAGTTAATCGTGAGAATAGCTTTCGTCATCTTATACCATCATGACATGTTCAAATGACAAAGCCTGTTGTCATAATAGACATTATTATTCTCATGGCGAGCTGACAAAATGCAGGTTCGTCATAATATATTGGTTTTGCTTTTTATTATGTCAAATTAGGTTGTCATAATAGCTATTAGGCACAATTAAAATATCATTTTTGTTTTAGCAACTGAAAATTAGAGTTTGGCCGGTGGCTTTTTCAGTGTTGGTGAAATTTCCTTCTCCTTCCCTTTTGTTCTGTATTAAATTTCCATAGAGGACGGTTTGGATAGATATAAAGAGACGGTTTGGGTTTTCAAGAAACCCTAGCAGTCCTCTAATTTTCAATTACGTCTCCTCCTTCCTGCTCCTTCTCATTGCTCGACCGCCATTGAAGAAGGTTGTCTCGTCCACCACAAGTAGAAGCCCGTTGTTTATGGGTACAAGCTCCGATTCTCAGCACTCATCGCAGCGTTAAATGGAGATCGACGATGCCAACAGAGTCTTAGGTTGAGAATAACGTAGTGCCTTTCAGAGCTACTACGATGCCTTCTCCTTCGTCTCCTCACAGCTTCATTACCAAAGGGACCGTCACCAACACGGTTGCAGCGGCCCGAATATCGCCGTTGTTGAAGGATCTACTCCTCACCCTCCCTACTTGGTCCTTCCTTTGCGAGAGAGCTACTTGATGACTCGATATTTGCACATGTTTTCCCCTTTGTTTCTTGATCGTTTAAGCTTTCATTATCACTTCCTTGGCCTATTTTACGCTAGGTTGTGTTCCGTTGTCATATTTCAGGTCTTAGCACATAAAGTGAAGTATAGGCGCAAGTTTCAAGTCAATCAGAGATCAATTGGCAATTCGGGAGAAGAAACTTGGGCATGACCTGAAGAAGAATGGATTTCTACCTCACTTTATGGACAAAGAATCATGAAATCTTGTCATTAGAAGAAAGATGACGAGACTACGAGCGTCTGGGATCAAACGGCGACTGATTCGGAGTCCGAACGAGGGAGAAACGAAGCATTGAATATAGGGGAACAGGTTCGGCAGTAAAAACACGGGCGCGCCTAAATCAAAACACGGCCGTGCCCATATTTAGGAACGACCGTGTTTTGGCCGATGCGCGGGCATGTTTTTAACACGGGGCAAAACACGGGCGGACAAAACCAAAGCACGGCCGTGCCCTCGACCGTTTTTTGCCCAGAATCGGGTTTTTTAGGCAGATTGAAGCCAAAGGAAAGGGAGAGCTGGGTTTTGGATCCCAAACACCCAAGGGACGAACCAAAGAGAGAAAGGGCGATCTGAGGGAATTCTAAGAGTGGAATTGGAGGATTTCTTCGCCTTGGAAGCTCGAGGAACAAGCCCGGACTTGAAGACTGATCATCTGAAGATTCTTACTGCAGTCTCTCTCTTCTCTATGGAGTCAAGTTTTTGGCGCGGTTGCCAGGGACTTTCTAGAGTATTAGGAAAGGCAGAAGTTTGTTACTTTAGCGTTTTTCTTTTCTTTTCCACCCTTGCTTTTCACTTGGGTGTTTTTGTTTTTGTTGGTGCAGATCTGAATCATGGATCCTCATGGATTCTCCAACAATTGGGGGTATCCACCACCACCCGAGTGGTATTACCCCGAGACTCCCTGGAGCAATCAAGGAGGAGAAGACTATGGATTCGGGTTCCAGTACCAACCCCCTTACTACAAAGAACAACCAGACCACTGGGCATATCAAGAACAACCTCATTACCAAGAGGAATTTCTCCCACAACTAGAAGGGCCATCGGCGCTGGAGTTACCCATGGCGGCCTTCACGGGCCATTCTGCAGAGCCATGCTACACTCCAAAGCCAGATCCAAACTATGAATTGAGGCTTCTCATGGAACAGTTTGCTCGAGACTGTGAGAGAACATGCTCCAGGATGGATCATTGTGTCCAGGCCTATCGTGAAACAGAGGAGATCCTTTTGAGCCTTAAGAAGAGCGTCGATGATCTTGAGTGATCTTTTGCACAACCTGCTCCCGATCACCCTTCTGCTACCATACTAGAAGAGGAGGAGGAAGAAAAAGGCTACAAGGACATTGTGGAGCACTCTAAAGTTGTCACAGAGAGCTCACGTGATGATCATGATCAGGAATGTCCTGTCATGGCCGACCACACCTTCCCACATCCCAAACTCAGCTTTGAAGAGGCGGGCATGAGTGAGGAGATGCAAGAAGATCTCATGAAAGAAATTGCTTGGCAACTTGCTCTCCAATCCGTGCTAAAAGAAGAAGAGAAAGAAAGGGTGCAGAAAGAAGTTGTGGAGGATGACGAAAGTGAAGCAGGAGGAGTTCTTGATCATTTCCCAGGGGTGATACCACATGAAGAAGAAAGGGAGGCTGCAGAAGCAATTGGCGTCCAAGCTGAGGACGAAGTTGAGGTGGAAGAGGCTTGCACCGGCTATGAGTTATTTGTGATATCTCCACCGAATTTCGAGGAGCTGCTTGGCAAGGACCCATTTGCAGTGTCTCTTTGCCAGACCAATGCCACATCGACATCGGTCCCTCTTGGTGGACGCGATGGTGGTAAATCGATGCTGTCATATCTAGTTTGGGGCAATGAGACGAGAGGAGAGAAGAAGAGGTCTCGAGGGTGGAGACTTCATCTGCATCAAGTGCATGAGCCTTCATCACCTGCCACACCACATGCTCGTGACTTGAGACTCCACCTTATCGACGAGAACCTCAACTTCAAGGAGGTTTTGGGGTGGACCGAAACTTAGGAGCCATCGTCCGGCTCACGATGTGAAAGAAGCACTTGTTGGGAGGCAACCTAACCAGTCGGTTTGCATTTGTTTCTCTTTTTCTCCTCGGTTGAGTCAGTTTTGTTATTTGATTTTAGAGTCAATAACTCAACCTATGTGAGATTTGTTGTGGTGTTTGTGGTCTGACCACTCTCTCCTCCTGGAATACACCGCCTGCCCCGTCCACCATCATTCACCCTAGATCTGGTAACTTCGTTCTACCCTCCTCATCTTTCCTCCATTGAGGACAATGTCGTGCTTAAGTGTGGGCGGGTGTTCGATTATGTATGCGGGTGAATGTTTGGCTGTTTGTGTGCTTGGAGCCTAGTCCACTGTCCAAATTTTTAAATTTGAGGGCTCCAAGTACGTGTTTCCTTGCAAATTGCCTGCTCAGTATGCTTTGAATTGACAGTCTCTATAGTAATGTGCAACCTAGGGAGGTAGTGTAGCACTATGGAGGATGTTGAAGTATAAGATTTTTCCTATCTAGCTCTCTGCTGTGCCAGTTGATTTTGTGAATTAGTGGAGCTAAGACCATTGAATTCATGTGGTAATGGTGACTATGTTTGGATTGTGTTATGGACTCGTGTATGGAACAGGGTGCTCATGTGAAAAATGAAAAGCAGTTGGTCCTCCATGTCAAAATCATAAAATCTTAAACATGGGGTAAGCCCAACGTGTGCGGCACCGTTCATTGCACCAAATCGGGTTTTGGAAGAGATTTTAGTGATCCTTAGTGGGGTACTCCTACAAGGTGAAGCTAAGCTGTCTCTAGTACAAGTAAAACTTCCACCCGTTGAACGGTTTGCCTACTTGAGGATGTGTTTTTAAGGGCACGGATAGAGCTTCCGACCCCCTTAATTTCATTGACCCTCCACACGAGTTGAGGAAAAGGAGTTAAAAGAAGTACTCTGGCGAGCGCCAGGTGTACAGAAATTGCTCTTGCTCGACTAATAAGGGTTGACCGTGCAAAAGACTGCAGTTGGAACCCCCGCCAAGTGAATGAAAAAGAAAAAAAGTAAAATGAAAGTGAAAAAGGGGTTCCAACGGTGAAATGAAGTGAAAGAGAACCCCGGTACAACGAGTCCTTGGTTGTGAATGGTGTGAGTCCCTTTATCCATGAACAGACTGTCTTACTTCTACGTCTTCTCATGATCCTGGCTTGAGTCTAGTACTCGCATTGAGAGAGATAGGGAACGTCTTAGAAGACCAGTTGACCTCGTAAGCTGCTATATGATCTAGTAAATCCTCTACCGACGATCGAGGTTGTATGTTGATATAGAGGTTTGGGGAGTTGCATTGGTTTGAGTCAGATTTGCTTGGGGACAAGCAAACGGTTAAGTGTGGGGGGATTTGATGACTCGATATTTGCACATGTTTTCCCCTTTGTTTCTTGATCGTTTAAGCTTTCATTATCGCTTCCTTGGCCTATTTTACGCTAGGTTGTGTTCCGTTGTCACATTTCAGGTCCTAGCACATAAAGTGAAGCATAGGCGCAAGTTTCAAGTCAATTAGAGATCAATTGGCGATTCGGGAGAAGAAACTCGGGCATGACCTGAAGAAGAATGGATTTCTACCTCACTTTATGGACAAAGAATCATGCAATCTTGTCATTATAAGAAAGAGGACGAGACTAAGAGCGTCTGGGATCAAACGGCGACTGATTCGGAGTCCGGACGAGGGAGAAACGAAGCATTG